GTATTAAAGTATTTCATTTCTACATATTTGGTGGATGAGATACTGCACCTAAATATTCTGCCTTTCAGAAAAAAGTAGAACGAACCTTTGACGAGCAGTGTTGGAAGCCAAGGAGACTAACTGACAACATAACGATCTGGACGCACGATTGGTCTCGGCCACTACTGTCAAACTACTGTGCAAACTGAACTGAACTGAACTGAAACGGTAATAAAGAAGAATAGAAAACCTTTCGGTTTAACTACGGTGCATCAGCTGCCGTAACACTCCTTCATGAAAGCCCACTGCTTTCCGTGTAGCTATTCGATAACTGCCTCAACACGAATATGATGGCTATTGACATATTTATCGGCGAAAATAGTTAACGCTAAATTTATGGCAGGAAAATGATAGAGCAGCATATGCTAGCATAGGAATTTCTCCGAACGCCTCACTAATGAGAGCCATAGATTCGATAAAGATCCATGTGATGAATGATAAAATTAATCTCGTACTCCAGGCTCATTTGGGAGACCGTGTCCTTAATAGCTGACAAGAACCAACAACTGATCATGATACTCTCGATCATGAATGCAGATTTGCCTCTGGGTACCAGTGAGCACAAGTGAATAAATATCCCTAACAAAAAACAAGGAGTTTACAACGATAATTATAGACAACGATACGTACAGGTGTCACTACTAGTGGTATGACTACTAAATATAAATTCACAAATATGTCTTTCTGTGCAACGGTCGAAAACAACTGACAAGAGTGTATCTATACCATTTGACACAAATCAAGTCCAAAAATAAATGGGTCAGCCATATACGTCATACATTAGGCATCATATAATCGTTTACCTACAGCCGTTTCCGGTAAAAATATATATGGCTACAGTGATCATCACCGTTGGTAGACGAACTGGGTCGCACCGAAAAGCAATGCCTAAACTGGCAAAAGATGCTACCCAATCAGTACCATCTCACTTGGTCACTACAGACGTATAAACACTAACAATAATGAATACCACTAGATATCTGAAACTATCAGTAACTACAGTGACATTCTCGTCCCTCTGCAACACTAGGAGTGCACCTCTCTGTTATTGTACTGCAATTATTGCCGTGAACGGGTATTAGGTGACAGGTAAAAACCCAACTCGTCATCAAACAAGCCCCCGGTACCCAACGCAAGGACCGCACATGCGCCAGGCCACAGACGGTAAAGATGGCAATGAGATTGATCACTACCGAACTAGCATAGTGTACCAAGCTCCCCACTACAGGCTTAGGGATGTCACTCGTCAAAGACAATCAAAGAATTCAGTTTTATTCAAGATAATCCCGTTTACTGCAAGCTGACCTACTGATATCAATTGCTAAAGGGAGCCTTTTTCACTTAGAAAAAACTTTAGGACCTACGATAACACCAGATTATTAGCCAACGGTTTGACATCACCCGAAATGGCTGACAACCAACAAGCTCAAATGCAAACAATCAATACATATCAACATCGATGTATACATCATCAAGTAGATTAAAGAACCACTGCAAAGGGTACACTTAACTCTCAATACTTTCAGCTTTAGTACCGCAGCTGCGCAGACGACAATTTGTCCTGAATACATAAAGCACAACAAGCCTATATTACCCAAATCGAAAATAATGTAACACTAATTTCCGCTCAATGGAGAAAAGACAACACAGACAAACAACGCTAAACCCCAGGTGCTCTAGTAACTTGAGTTATTCACTGGTGACGGCCAGCACTAGCAACAATAAATAAATAAAGTGCCATTAAATAAACCGGGAGTTTGTTATGAAGGATACACACGAATATTTTGCCGCGGAATCTGCTTTAGGTTTGTAAGCAGACCGAGACAAAGCAAACCTAACTGACACCCTCCAAATGATAGAGCTTGCTCACATCCCGTTTCGCAACATTCCAACATTTTCGTACCAGCACTTCCCTGACCAAGCCATCCGACTCTGGAAGAACTTCACAAACTATGCCCAGAGGCCACTGATTCCTGTGAACTCTCTCATCCAACACCAAAACAAGATCTCCCATCTTTAGATCCGGTGTTTTCTCGAACCACTTGTGCCTTTCCTGCAGCATGCACACGTATTCAGATTTCCAGCGTTTTTAAAATGCATCGGCTAACACTTGCACTCGCCTCGCAAATCTATCGCACGATTTTGAAAGTTACAGACATCCATGAATGTTTGGTTGTCTCTAAGCAAATAACAGCCTGTTGGGTATCAAAGCGTCTTAGACTTTGGCACAATCAGACAGTGACTCCAACGGGCGCTCATTCAAGATTCGTTCTTCTTCAGCGACAGAAGACAACAGCGTTTTGTCGGTAACGCTGTGATCACGGGTGATGGCGTGCAACAGTTTCCTTTCCCAGATGCCTCCCCAATGAATGGTCTCCGGAGGACCAAAACGCCAATCGATCTCTCGCTCCAACATAAATCCTTTGGTGTTTTGTTATCTGAAAAAACAGACACCCGTACGAAGTTCGTTATAAGTGCCTCTAAAGTCAGTTCCGCTGTCGCTGAAAGCCACTTCCGGTCTTCCTCGTCGTACTATGAAGCGTAGAAAGGCTTGCAGAAAGGCGTCGAATGAGAGAGCATGAGTCACTTCAATGTATACTGCCCGTATATTTAAGCGGGTAAATGAACACCCATACCGCTTTTGTTCCGACCGTCCTTGATTTATGTATAGAGGACCAAAGAAGTCCGCCATTACATGCATGTTTTTTAATAATAATAATTGTGTATATTTCACGAAGCCCGTGAGGCATGCACAAATCATAATCATATATTCAAAGCAATCATGTGTATATTAACAGTGTAGGTATATAGAAGGTTTAATTGGAAAATACACACAATGGAAATATGGTGGGGAGCCGAACGAAATGCACTGCGAAAGGAATACAAAGCGGACAAGGTCACTGACGAATATGAAGTAACGCCGACTACGACCAAGCGTGACGCGCTTCAGAACGGGAGCCCCTGAGCTCGCAGCACAACCAAGTTACTGCTGGTTAAGCCAGAAGACTTGAGGTAAAGTGCTCAATGTCGAGTTAGATGCGTTGCCGGGATCGGAACAGAATACTAGCGAGAATTGCGTTCTGGGTTGACCAGTTGGTGTGCTTCGCCCGAGCCAACGTACACGCGCTGTTGACTAAGGTAACCGGAATCACACGTGTTTGAAAGGGCATGTTGTTGGATCAGCGGATAACCTGCTGAGTCGTTGGCTGCAAAGGTGGTTCAAGAATTCGTGTCAAATACGTTGGACCATAAATGCAGTAGCCAGGGCGCGGATGAGGCTCGGTGAATATGAAAATGAAAGGATAGAAATACGTGGTGTAGCAACCGCAGATAGGCAAATGCGTACGCTTTCAGTACCAAAACAGTAATATAAATGCTAAATAAATATCGAGTAGAACTCGTGATATTAGTCGATACGATGGGTGATGATGGAGACATGCGGATAGAAATGAATGAGACGGATTACAGCGGGTTCATACGTTTGTGAAAGTACTTGTTTCTCTCTATGCTGCAATACAGCTCTGAGGACGCAATTATTGGGTTCGGGGCTTCAACCGATTATGGAGTGATTTAGATTATTTAGATTAATAAGTTGTTGGTTGCTTTGATGAGTGACTGACTACACGCTAGACACCTAACCTTACAACACCATGTAGGTTAGGTAGGGGGTGTGATCCTCAACCTGGTCTGGAATGTGGACGCATGTAGTCAAAACGGTGGAAATAGCCGTGCCCAACAACCATTGTCGAAGCCAGGTTGTCCATTGTGGGTGTGGACCCCTAGCCTTCGACAGGCCCAAGGCAACCGAATCTGGACCAAAAAGGGCGATATTCAACAGTCTGGGGTTGTACCCAGCTGAGAAGGGGGGAAAGAAGGGAAAACACAACATGCAACGAAACAAATGTACAGGGAAGTATGTACACATATATAATACGGGAATTGGGTGAACATGATTGAAAACATTTTGATTAAGGAAAAAGAGGTCACAGTACTTCTAAGAGTATGCAAAAGAATGAATTGTGTTCCACAGATCCAGCTTAGAAGCTGAATCCGTGTACTAATAAGAATTGGGTTTATAAAGTGCGCACAGCTACCTGGTTAGCATGTGCCACGGAATTGAGCCAAGGGTGTCAAGTGAAAAGGAGATCAGAAGCATTTCGAGTATTGAATACGTAGTCATACTACTTCTTAGAGTGTGTACCAGAATGAATATTGGGAGATTGAGATTGTTGTATTCTAATAGTTCGAGCCCGTCCGAAATCCCTCTTCGGTTCAAAGATTCACACCTGTTATGAAAAGCGCATTTTCCACCTTGAGGAATTGCAGGAGCAGCATTTTGAATTTGATCGCTGACGCGCATTCGTGGATCTCAGCGGAAAGCAGATTCTATATGGTAGAGTATTTTATCGTCAAGAAGTCGGATCGGAGGGAGAAGCGAGACCTGGGGATTAGTAGCTGGGATCTGCTATTACGAGGGGCGTATGTGGACGTCGAAAATGTGCATAGTGCGCTCGATGAAGAAAACATGCGGTAGTGGATTATCCTATGTAGTAAGCAAAAATTTAGTTTTATGCGACGTAGCCATAGGGGTTCTGTGTTGAAGATGGAGCATCAATCATTACAGTTAAGCTGAAAACCATATCCTAGTAAATGGTTGATAAAAGAACGTTGAACATTTTACAAAGCTATTTTATCTTTCACGGGTGTTAGAGACCGTTATTGGACAATACTACAAGCATGGTCTTACGAAGGAGAGGTAGGAAAGCAGCTTAGATTCAGGAAGTATAAGGATTTACTTATGAAGCAAATGCTTCTTTCGATTTTTGAAATTTGAAGAGACATGTTCGGAGAAGTTAAATGTGTGTCGTGTATTAGGAAAGATTGCAAGGAAATATGCCATCGAACCGTGATAAAGGTACTCTTCCATGTTCCATGTGTCGCATTATTGGTCAAGTCCGAGGAGATCATTTTGTTTTAACGTAATGATATGATTAAGTTCATATGGTCGGAACTCATAAACTATTTTCATATGATCTGCAAGTAAAAAGGTGCACCATGTTGGACAATGGCGAAGATATCATTAATGTACATAAGAAATAGACGCAGCCCCAGGACACCGCCTTGTACTACTCTACTAGTAACAAGGGTAGGTAAGGAAAAGTAACCATCAACGCACACCGACTAGGTGCGATTGGAGAGTTAGAAGTAGAAACAATTCAGGATGGGTGTTTGATACCAAAAGTTTGCAGTTTGGTGACGAGCCGCGTTTGAGAGACACGGTCAAACGCCTTAGTCATATCAAGAAATATTATCACCAGAGATTTTCCACTTTCCTCTGCTTTAGTGACTAAGTTGAGGAAATCAATTCGACAGGTGTTGCATGACCTGTTTTGCAGGAAACCATGTTGACCATCGTGGAGAAGCTTGTTTGATAGAAGGTATTCAGTCATATGTTTTTAAGCAGACGTTCGAATAGTCTCGATGCGCTGGGGGTTTGATTAGTGGGACGGTAGTTGGAGGGGTCATGCAGGGGGCCCTTTTTGTATTGCGGGATAATGGTAGAAATTTTCCATTGATTAGGAAATTTGCCATATTTCAGTGAGAGGTTAAACATGTTTGTGAGTAGAAGAGGAATATCCGGCCCACCAGAGCGTAGCAGTACGGGAGGAAATCCATCCGTGCCAAACCGAGTGGAAGGTTTATTTGCAAGAAGGGGTTCGGTCAGCTCATGAGGCCGCAATTGTATATGGAATAGGGTAAGCTCAAGTGAAGAAGCAGAAGAATCGGAGACATGGGGTGTATCGATGATCCAAAAAGAGTTAAACAAAAAGTTAATGGCATTTGCAATAGATTAAGGTGAATTGAAGACTGAGTTATCTTGCAATTTTAGGTAACTTATGTTGGGATGAGAATGAGCATTCCGGGATCATAAAATACGCTAAATAAGTGCAAGTTTATCTGGTTTAGATAAAGCACCATTTTCTGTTTTCTATGTATTTTGTTTTTAAGACCGCTGACTTCATCGGATATTTTATGTAACCAAATGAAAACGGAAAAGTCATATTTTTCATCATGAATAATCCGTTCTAAAGGTAAGGGTGACATTTGATAGCAACCAGGATGCGCCTGATACTTTCGGCATTGCATACACTTCCCAATAATACGTCGAATGGTGGCTCTGATTTTTAGTACCCAGAACCTCCTCCTGATACTGACCAAGACTTGAGTTCAACCAACATGACCATCAAACTCATGATGATATCTAATTATCAAACGCTTGGCAGGAAGGATTGCAGGATGTTTAAGGGGCTCTGACACATCCGACCACTCTAGACGACCCCGACATTGTGGAAGGTCTTTGGGACCAGGTTAAAGCAAACCTGAAACAACTGACGGACGAATTCGCTCCACTGAGGATGAGAAGAAGGAGACAGCCCCCATTGTGGATGAAGGCATTAATTAGAGCCCAGGCCCGGAAACATATGGCCTGGGCACTGTTTCAGGCTAATCAGGAGCACAGGCGATACTTGGTTTACAGGAAAGCCAGATTATGTCGCCAGGCTGCAAAGTCTTCGCTGAGCTGGGTATGAAGTGGCAATAGCAAGACGTGCCGAAGCATGTTCCAAAGCTTACTTCAACTACGTGCAGTCTAAGGGAAA